GGAGCGGGTGCGGCAGCGCTGCGGCGGGGCCCGGAGGGTGCGGCCGCCGCATGTGCGGAGGCGGAGGCATGCGGCCTTTGCTCCCCATGGCTGAAGAGGATAATGGAATAATGATGGTGAAATTAGGGCACGGAGAGAAGGATTTGAAACAAGGAATTTGAAATTGATGTAATAATGGCGAATTGGGAAAAGGAAGAAGAATGGTGAAGAAACAAGTACCGTGGGAATTAGGAGAGAGAGAAAGTGAACGTAAATCGGCGAGTGTTTGGAAAGGAAGAAAGTGCAAAAACCAAAACCCTAAACTGATAATGGAGGAAGCAAGGTGATCTCAGACTCAGAGGGAGCATCTATGGTACTACTATTGAGTAATCTACTTTTCTTAACCAGGTTACTAGGTTACAAGAAAGAAAATTTAATAAAAATCAAATGTACGAGATATTCTCCATTTTCAACTCCTTGATAGTCACGATTTTATCTTTAAAAAAATATGATTAAAACCCTTATTTGGTCTCTGATAACATTTTTTTGTTTTAATTTAATCTCACTTTAATTTTTAGTTTCAATTTGGTCTCTAATAATTTAAATTATTACAATTTAGAACTTCCGTCCAAATGATTTAAACGGAGTTAACTATTGGTCACGTGAATGTCAGGTGGATGCTACGTAAATGTCACGTAGATGATGCCAAATTTGTTGAATATACCTGAAACCAGAATGGCCCGTTCTGAAACCAGAATGGCCCGTTCTGAAACCAGAACTGCCCGTTCTGGTTACACTGTTGGTGTGTTAATTTTGTACCTGGAATGGGTCGTTCTAGGTACAAAATTAACACACCAATAGTGCAACCAGAACGAGTTGTTATGGTTTCAGAACGAGCCGTTCTGGTTCCAGAATGGTCAATAATTATAGTCCACGGTTGTAAATCGTGCACGGAAAAAAACCTAAGGTACAAAACATTTCAAACACTAGATTTGGTAATGTTGTCAATAGGGATTGATAACTTCAATTGTTAAACATTTGGGCTATACAGTATCATTAAGGACGATGCAATGTATCACTAAGGACAATAGTAATAGGTTTTATTTCATTTTAGTCAAACTGGAGTGAACCACTCACTTCCAAATTGACACTATACAGTCAAGGATGAAATGAAACGGTATTTCCCCTTGAAGTCATTGACGATGTACCCCAACAATAACAACCTGTTCTTAAGGAGGTACAACCTGAATTTTTGTGGTTTAGAGTTTCCTTTCAACGTTAACTAGATGATTTCCTTTCTCAGTAATTTCTTTGAACTTTTTTAGAATATGTTATGTTCTGAATTTTTGTTTTCAGTTTCTGAACCATGTTTCTGTCTTTTAATTTATGATATGTTATGAATTTTTTATTTCAATTTTTGAATCACATCTTGGAAAATGAAGTTGGCGTTCTGGAACGGGCCGTTCTGCATCCAAAACGGCCCATTCTAACACCAGAATGGCCCGTTCTGGTGCACTCATGGTGTGTTAAATTTGCATTTGGAATGGTCCGTTCCAATTGCAAAATTAACACATAACATGTACAAGCAGGACAGACCGTTCTGGTTCCATGTGTATTCATGAAATTTGGCGGCCACGTGTGCATCTACGTGACATCCACGTGGCCAACAATTAACTTCATTTAAATCATTTGGACGGAAGTCCCAAATTGTAATAATTTAAATTATTAAAGACTAAATTGAAACCAAAAATTAAAATAGGACTAAATTGATATAAAAAAAATATTATAAAGGACCAAATAAGGATTTTAACCAAAAAAATATTTAGATAAATTAAAAAGAAAGAGTATTTATAAATTATTTTTTGTCTAAATTCTTAAGTGCTATAAGATTTTTTTAGATATACTAAAACATTAATAAATACAAGTTCACACTAATAACATTATGATAATCTTTGTAAGAAAAAATAAATTATGATAATCTAACGATCCAAAAAATGTGAAGTATAAAAAAATATTGAAAATGTAAAATTATTTAATGTTTATTTTTAAAATGATAGAATTATTTGATTTAATAAATGTATATTAAATATTATTTACTTCATGTTTAAAATTATATTTGTTTTATTCAAATTATAATTCATCGTTAAATTATCAAATAAGTATGAATTTTAACATTAGTCAAAATTTGATCATCATATCATACAAACGAAACTTCTACTTCAATGTCACTCATTGGATAAAGGTGGTAACAATATTATCATTAACACAGAATCTCAAGTCGAGAGAAAGTCATTGAGAAAAAATAACCCATTTAAATTTGCAAAGTGAAAATCACCACTAATTGCTCTCAAACAGATAATGAATGTCTTATTTGAAATAATCAAGAAGTTTGGATTGTCAATTTTTGTGGGTTCATTGGGAGGTCCTTAACTTGTAAACATTATTCCACAACCTAGGGCTTGCTTAGACTCAAGGGTTGTATGTCAATAATTTGTTTGCCTCACTCCCATTCAGATATTTGTTTATTGGAAGGTGTCTTCCAAGTATGCACAAAGCACAATAATGTCAATTTAATTCATGCCATCGAGCATGAGTTATGTCTCAACTAAACTGCTTCAATCCAACACATCCTTAGACAAGTGCAACAAGAGTTTTTTATTTTTTCCCCTAAAACTCTAAGCAAGGTGTCCTCATCTTTGATTCTCCTTTGTCTCCGCTGCTGATGACAAATGCAACTAGAGTTTTTTTTTCATTTTTTTTCCCCAAAACTTAGTCGTATGTGTTTATTTTCGTAGATTTCACCCCTGAATTTCCTCACTTTACAGGCCAATGATAATCATTAAATAAAAAATAATTAGAAATTATTATAAAATTAAATACACATAACAAATTCAAAAATTAATTAAAATATTAGTATGATTGTTTTTACAATTTATCTTCTAAAATACATTTCCTTCACTCTAGAAAAGTTAAATCCAATATTGTGATTGCCTCAACATCTGGAACCTAGCTTAAACTTGGTGATAAGTTAGAAAAATACAATTTAAATATTATGTAATTAAATTATGAAATGTTATTATAAAATAAAGAAAAGTATTATCTTTTATTAATTTGAGTAAAAACAATCTGTAAATATCCCTGTGGCAGGTGATTAGTCTGTGGCAGTTTACTCTGTCCTAGGACGGAACAGTCACATGACCGTAAATTTTCCTGTTAAGAACTTTTTTTTCATCTTGCCAAATGCTAACATATTTCCGAGCCATTACTTAACTAATTGATTTTAATTAACTTTTTTGGGTATGCCATTTATAAAAATGATGGATAAAAAAAAAACGAATTTGCTGAGATTGTGTCCTCAGACAGAATAGAGGTTCAAAAATGAACAACCAGGAGACTAAAACTGTGATTTATTAACAAATGAATGGATAATGATACATAGATTACCATAACACAACTATTCATACACATAAAGGAGCTTATTGGCCCCTTTTTGTTACATCATGTCCTCCTACTAGTATGTGAATCTCGTACAAAATTCTGGTCACTTATAGAGAGATCCGTCGCTTAGATGGGGGTGATGGCTGATTGAATAAATACTCCTCAAGCAGTTGTACTGCTCTAATGCACAATTTGCCGAAAGCACAAGCAGAGCCAAATCCTTGTGATCAAGGATTCAAATGCCGGTAATTTACACAAGTTAGCACTTTGCACTTCATACAATGTCTAGCTACAAGTTGTCTTCCATCTCATCTGGTACATGCAATTTCTCAATGGCGGCCTGTTATGATGAAGTTTCAAGTTGCATAAGAAAATGTAACAAGAAATTCCAAGTTTCCAACACTAAGTAGCCAACAATTTATGAAATACAGAAGAAACTGAACTTTCACACAAACCAATCAGAAAGCAAAAAGATAAGATAATGTAAAGTGTACAAGTTGTAGAGCAGTTTAAGAGCAAAAAGATTGCTGTTAGAAGAAGCCAATCACCTTGATAGCAGCAGCATCTGTTGCAGATGGTTTCAAATCCAAAGAAATACCATAATGAAGCATCGCTCTCTCATGCATGTTACACCTTTTATAGATCCTGCCCATCAAAGCATAGACACTACTTTCCCGAGGGGCATACTCTTTAAGCTCCTCTAGGACTTCCAATGCCTCGTCAAACTTTTCCAAGCTCACAAGTATATTGGCCTTCTGATACATTGGGAGGGGATTTTTCTTATCTGCTAAAATAGCCTTCTCCATTACCATCAATGCTTCCTCGCTTCTCTGTAATATATAACAAGCATAAAATAATTTCAGAATTCTGGAGATAAATGTAGTTTCTCATTTGTATATACTACTACAATTAGTGTGGCAAGAGACTAACCTTTAAAGCATGTAAAGCAGTACCAAGGTATGACATTATAACAGATGACCGTGGATTGATTTGAAAAGCCATCCGAAAATGATGTTCAGAGAATTCATACTTCTCTTGGCGAAGATA